ATTTTTCCGGCATTTTTGTGTATTTAGTGAGTCGCGGTGGGAGCCCCCCTGGTCACTCGAAAATTGACAGTGGGCCAACCCCTTTCGTTCGAATGTCGACGCAATAAATTATTAAGCTTCCCTCTGGTTTTTGGTTATCCTCCTTCTCCCTATTCGTCTAATGGCCCCTGTCGCTTTCCGCCGGAAGTAGCCAACTTTTTTCAAGCCCAGCCAGTGCCATCATTAATGAAAGATGACAACTTTCCATTTGTTATTCCCTTGTATTCATTTTTTCAACTCGATAATATCCTTCTTGTAGTTTCATTTCCACGTCTGGTACTCGGAGACGTTTTAACCCAGTTCTTTTGTACTCCCGTCTGATCACAAATGCCATTTTCACTCGACTGTTGCAATTCTCATTTGAACCTTTCTCCCCCTCTTTTTCACTCTCATTCGTTCTCGATTGCTGGAGGAAATGAACGAATCGAACCAATTGGAAGAATCATTCAGCTCTCACCCGAAAAATGTGAATCACGTGCACGAGTTTCATTCGATAATTCGCAGAACGATTAATCATATTAATTGCGAGGAAGAGTAACGGAGTCAGCCCGAGTACCGAGACGATCCACGCCCTGGGTGGAAGTTGAGACCCCTCTTAATTATAAATTGTAATTAGTGCCCAAGCCATACGGTGCCGATTAATTAATGTCCCACCCCCCTCTGGGCAATTAATTATTTAACGTCGAGACGAGCAAGTGTTCGTATCAATGTTCAACGGCACTCGTATCATCCCTAAGATTTACACAGAGAAAAGAGTTTCTGGTTTATCGGAATGAGTAGTTTTTCACTCCTACAATTTCATCATGAGGTATTTTATGGACTTTACAGTGATCTTTCTATACATCTATCCGTGAACATTTTCATCACTCACATTTCTCAGCAACTAATTATCAATAATTTAACCCAGATTAATTATCATTTCCACGTGAGTCAATCTACCTCAGTGTAAATATCTTGTTGCAGGTGATAAGGGCTCGTAAAATTTTACGACGATAAATAATAGTCCTAATAATAGCTATCCAATCGACATCACGCCCGATCGTTTCTCGGAATTACAACTGACCGATATTAACCAACACTCTCTCACTCAACTATCACATACAACATCAATTAATATCTTATAATTAATCCCGGCAAAATGAAACCAGAAATTCTTATCACCACTCCCATTTTTCTTGGGGATTTCATTTCTACCCCTCCCCCCCCTCGCTCACACAGTCTTGTTTCAATTCTGGTTTTGTATCTTTTTAATGCCCTCCCATTTAATTGATCAGTGGTGTGCAATGAGTGAGTATCCAGTGCGATCAGCAGCACTCGGTAACATCCCAAGGGGGAAAAAGAGCGTTAATTACCGGTCCCTGGGTGCATAATTGTGGGGAACCAGGGAATTTAAACTAGTGTAACAGCTCCGGTCACTCATTAGTTGGAGCCACAACTGATTGCTCTCAAGTGCTAGACTTTAAACACAACGTTGTAGGTTCGAGTGACTCATCATAGAGATAAAAGTGAGTGAAAAATTTTATTTGAAATTTTTCTGCAATTTAATAGGCCGTGACTACCATTGCGTGAATCACTCCCGTACACTCCATACACTTCACGCATGCGTGNTCCTGGTTCGAAGCCATCTATAGAGGCATCAGCACGCCATTTCTCGATCCGCTCTTTCATTTGAGCCCAAAAAAACAGTCATATCTTGTCTGACATCTCTGAAATCAGTGACATCAGTGAAACACACAGTAGTATGAAACTTCAACTGCGTGAAATACACAGCAGTATGAAAATTCGGCTGCGTGAAACACACAAACTTCACGCATGCGTGAAGTGTATGGAG